CACCCACCGCCAGTGGAAGACGTTGAGTGCAGGTCCGTACGGCAGCAGCGTTATCGGCGACGGTTTGGCTGGGTCACCCACCGCCCTCGTTCGACAAACGTTGTGAGCCCCTTTACTGACACTGCTGGTTTGGCTGGGCCACCCACCGCCAGTAGAAGACGTGAAGGTGTCGAAGTGTACAGCAGCAGCGTTGTCGGCGAAGGTTTGGCTGGGCCACCCACCGCCCAAGCTAGATAAACGCTGTAAGGCACAATAACCGAAACTGCTGGTTTGGCTGGGCCACCCACCGCCAGTAGAAGACGTTGTGTGTCGGCTGTGCAACGACGGATAGACCCTAGAAGTTTGGCTGGGCATCCCACCGCTTCTGGGAGAAATCTGTTGGCCGCCCCGCATTTGAACTCGCACTTCGCCCAGACTTTGCCTCCTGTTCACCAATATAATTCATTTTCCTGACTACCGTTTGCTTATTTATGCTTGTTATAAACTGCTTTGCTTGGCTTTTTCTCCTGGCTGGTCGCATTTTCGCTTAATTTCCGTCGCTTTGCTAGAAACTGCCGCCGATATTTATTTGTAGAATTAGAGTAACCCATAACTATTTTTCTGTTTCAGAACCATTGGGGACAATTTATTGATTATTTATTGCTCTAATTTATTAACCTTATTTATTTTTCCCTTTCTAGCACCGACCGAAATTTAAAACCGAATATTATTCTGGCGTACCGTTTCTTAAAGTATTAGACCGTTTATTAAATAAACCAAACGCCCAAGACTCCGTTTTTCTACCGTACCGATTTTTTGAGTCCTGATTTTTGACTATGTGTTAATTTCGTATTTATTCACAGCACCGGAAAACCGAATCGGCATTTTAAATCCGTCGTAATAATTGCTCTAACCCATTTTATTTCATTCACACCGCTTGTAAATAAATTGTATATTCCTGGTTTTAGTTAGTGATAATAATTGTAATTAGAATCTATTTTACTTTTGTTTGTTTGTTTCCGTAGGCCTTATTAATAGAAA